CCAGACTGTTTTCTGTGACTGTGGAGAATTTTCTCTAACCTTTTCAGTCAGTGCAAAACATTTTCCAGCCTTTTCACCTTCAAATATATATGTAATAATTCTCTTCCTTTTTTCCCCCCTATCCTCCAGAAAAGGCAGCACCGAAGAAGATGCTGTCAAATCCCTTCAGAGGCCTGGATGATCTAGAGTCAGAGGCAGTGGAAATTTTCATTTAAGCCACTGTGAATACGGATTCTGAATTAAAGGACAAAGAAAAAAAACTTTGGGGTATCTGTGAAGACTGCAAGAAGAAAAGAGAATGAGGCAAATATGTGAATGCATGAAAGTTGGGGAGTCAAAAGAGGCAACGTTTGAGAAACGGACAGTTTTTTTTCCCCCACATGTTGGCAGCAGAGCTGGGCTCTGAACACCTGCAGGCGGTCTGCCCGGCATGCTGAGAAAAGATGAATCCTCTGAGGTACTTGGACAGTATTGTGGATTGTAATATGGCGATATATTCTCATAGAGAATATGCCATGCTATTTATATAAATATTTCTATCTATGAATTTAAAAATGCTGCTTATCCCCTTGATTAATATTCTTAATTTTATTATTATTATCTTCCCCCCCCCACTAAGTTAATGAGCTATAGTCTGACCTTATATGGTTTCCACAATCCCTAAATATTAATAATTTCAATTGTTTTTGTTGCATATTCAGCAAGGGGTTAACTTTCTGACCTGTGTTTCTTCTCTTCTTTTTCTTTTGTGGGTTTAATTTTGAATAAGTGCTTTCCCACCACACTGATGATCTTTTTGGAGGTCTGCCCCGATCTCATTAATTTAAACTGATGACACATGATCTGAAAATCCCACTGCTCATGTTTCTCCACCCTGAGTTGCTGGTTCTGCAAAGGTTTGGAGATATGTGAACAATGAGGTCCATAATATATAGAGTGTTTTTATTATAATTATTTAAACTGACAGAGACCTGGTGTTGAAGAAGTGTAGTTTTGGGATGTTGTTGTGTAATTTTATTATTATTATTATTTTAATTTTTTTTTTTTTTACCCCATCCTCTCAAAAGTATGTTTGCATGTGTGATAGTAGTGAGTGTGAGCCCTGATGTGGTGATTCTGCTGGTTTGATTACCACTGAGGGGTATAAATGGTTAGCGTTTTGTTTACTGTGAGTTGCAAACTAACAGGTTAATTAATTTTATGATATATTTTATAACAGATGTTTGTATTATTTTAGATACAGTAGTGCTCTGAGCAGGATACCAAAGAGTTATTTTGTAAGTTATATGCTGACAATCATGGCCTTGTCAAGCTGTTAACAACCAATCATAAGTTGAGTTCAAAAACAGGCATTTTTTTTTGTGAAATCAACTGTTGAATTCATGCAACATTTCATAAAACAATAAATGTTCCCATAAACATTAACTGACTTATTGCATTTTATTTCACGCAGTAGCCAGTTTTTACTGAGATGCTAATAAATCATAATTTTCTCCTGAAGAGTGTTTTTTCTGCCACTCCTGTGTCATTGTCAACTATCCTCTCATTCCTGCCCTCTTGTTCCCCCACTGCAAAGAGCTCTCTTCATTAATGAATACCACAGCCGCATTCTTTCGGGTTCAACTTTCTCGGGTGGCCTGTTCTCTTGTTCTCTTCTTGCCATGAAGAGCAGGCTCGACATAGATCACATTCTCACGAGGACACGTAACCCTATACGAGACAAGAACAGGTTTGCCAGATTAGCTTCTAATGCTGTTTGAAATTCCTCATGTACCTTTGCTAACATGTTACATTCCCGAACGCTTTTATTGCCTCTAATACAGCCACCCCTCCATCCTGAGGCCAATATGAAGCATTACTGGACGTGCAACAGGATGTAATGAAGGGAGGATAGAGAGCTCTGTTATCAGTATCCATTGTATCCAATAGATGTCTCAGATTTAGAGTGGAACCAGTTTGCAGCAGCAGAGACCCTGAGGCTTCAAAGAGCAACTTGAATATGGGAATGACTGAGATGTGGACAATCGATATACTGATGCCGTAAGTGCACGTAATAAAGCTGTAATGCATTTTTTTTTAAACAACACAAAAGTTTTCAGCATATGATGTAATGAGTCTTAACTGAAGATGTATGTTCATGCTCTAAAAGCACTCACAATCATTTGTATATAAAAGATGAAAGGCTGCATACATACCTGGCAATAAGAAGGTGTTGGGTAAAGCAACCTAATTTGGGTCCAAGATCAAATGAGTGTTAATCCAGTCTTGGAATGATTTAACTCTAAAGGAGTTTGGCACAGTATGTTGCTTTAAGTCTATAACTCTGACAATGTTTTTCATTTTAAGTGTAACAAAAAAGCCAGAACAGAATAAATCTGTACAGGGACATATCCGTTTTCTCAACCCTTTTTGTTGCCTCAAACATACGGCACTTGAGCAAACAAAACCAAAACACATTCACAACTTCAGCGTCCTTTCACAAAGATGCTGAAAAACGTTCTGTTTGAAAGTGACAGGGATATTTTCAGTCTCTACATTCATGCTCAGGGTTTTATGATAGGTGAAAAATTACAATTCTTTGAGGATTTAAAGTTATTGTTGGTATGTTGTTGCAATGCAAATGCCAACAAAGGACACTAAACTAAGCAGTGCAACATAATTTGTGTGGTTTATCAACAAACCCATATAACTCATGCTGATTTCAGCCCGATATGAAATTCCCAGGGTACAGAGCCAAAGAAATAAGAGCATATTGGTCAAAAAAACTGCAGAAAAAAAAAATCACATTTCTTGGTTTTATAAAGGAATCTCTCACCTCCTCCTGATCAACATTTACACTCCATCTTCCTGCATCATACCAATTCTGGGAAAAAGAGCAAAACGCACAGTCGAAACATGTCAGCTGCCTTTCGAATTCGCAAAGGAATGTTGGCAAGTCTTCACATTGTTGTCAGTCACTTAGCCAGATAGACGTTCACTCTATGATTAATGGCTTAACATACCACCAGTTCGTTCTCTGTGTTTTCCCACACGAACTTCACAGTTGAAAACATCTAAAATATCTCAACAACTCACATCCTCACTCCCCTAGTCCAGACTTGTTTAGTTTTTCTTTCTTCACCAGCATTCCTAATCATCTTTTGTAAGACACATTGTAGTGGGATATGGCTTTTTCCTCAATCTATTGTCCTAAACTTTAGATACAAATGTGTGGGGTATGAGATATAAAGGACTTTTCAAAGGTTAGACATTGGGTCATCATTTCTGACATATTTTAGAAAGCTTCTCTCCCCTGGGAATGAAACTCCTGCAAAGAAGAATTTTAAGTATTTAGGTTGCAGACACGCAAAATGCTTGAAAGACAAAATGTGAAAAGGGTAAAGTTTAAAGGTTAAGTTTAAGTTTAAAGCAACACAGACTTAGATGAAGGAGTACATTTTAACCTTCTTAGGTCAATACTTTTTCTATACATCAACACATTTTATATTATAGATTTCATTTTAGTCTTCACTTTGAAAAGTTTAGCATTAAAACTAGACTGAGATATTTTCATCTGCCGTCACACTAATTTGAGCATGAGTAACACCTCCACCAAATGGTGTTCTAACGTCTGTTTTTGATAAAATTCTCTACACGGTTTAAGAGAGAGTTTATGGACTTTCTTGACCCTTAAGTAGCACATGAGGTCAAACACTGATGTTGGATGAGTGTACCTGGTTAACAGTCTCTACTCTATTTGACCCCAAAGGTATTCTACTTGCTTCAGATCAGGAGCCTGTCAGCCAGTCAAGTTGTTTCTTCAAATTTATTCATCTGTGACTTTATGGATGATACTTTTTCACCAGTGTACAGTCACAGATGTGAAATTGCTCAAAAAAAAAAACAAACTTACAGATGGGCTTCAAATATTACATTTTGTGTTTCAAGTTTGAATTTAATTAGGAAATTAAGATACCAAAGTCTGCAGAAAGAGTGGACTGTGGGACCTTGAAGTCCGGTGAAAAGTTTGATTCGGGGTGCCATGTCATCTGCTGGTGTTGGTCTACTGTGTTTTCTGTTGTCCAGAGTAAATACAGATATGAACCAGGAAACCTTTGAGCATTTCATGCTTTAAAATGTCCTATTATATTGACCCTTCATTTCACCACACACAAGAACAATGTGTAGAAAATGCATGGTTAAAAAAACTATTAATTTTAACCCCAAAATTCCTTGTTTGGCAATTCAGGCCATTCATATCACAACCTCTTTAATACTTGGCACTAAACCCTTTACATGCTTAGAATACTGAAATTTGTATATTTGACAATGATAAACTGCACAAATTACAGCAACTATTTTAATTATATCCTCTTTATTATGGGAAAAACATTTCTAGCCTTGTGTGAAAAAAATATTTATCCACTAAACCTAAACACTGGTATTATTACCACCTCTTTTTGCAAAAACTGTTATTAATCATGTATGATAACAACCAATAATTCTTCTTTTACATATTTGTGGGAAAATTTACTTTATTATTATTATTATTTTAGTGTACTTTCAAAATTGCTTTTAAAATTTGAAAGAGATTAAATACTTTTTCACAGCACACAACACTTTATGGCCTAATGGTTTCCGGTGCATATCAGGATTTTTAATATGCCTGTTATTGCTTTTATTTTTCAGGAATTACAAAATGCAGTTTCATTGATTATTTGCACTTACAGATCACTTGTTTTAGTTTACTCTCATCTTTTTGTTAAATTTCTTACTCTTAAAGTTTAGTGTACAAATATTGTTCAATCATAGTAGTACATCATTTAATTCCATAAAGTAATACAATAAACCAACATCTCCGTAAAAATATATCTTGGATGGAACAGAACTTGAAAAACGGAACAGAGAACTTAAAGGTAATTGGCGCCATCTTGTGGCACTGTCTGAAATTAATATTAATGATTACATAATATTAATAATAATACTAATACTAAAAAAAAAAAATAATAAAAAAAAAAAAATAATAATAATAATAATAATAATAATAATAAGTTGTTATTGGGTCTTTACTGTTCATTCACTTAGAATTGAACGTACCAGCGTTCCGATGTGCTATGAACTTATTACCGGTGTACGCTTGACAATAAACCATTCGTACCCTCCGACGAAACTCCGCCCATCCGACTGTCAACCGAAACAGATACCGCTAGCTAATTTAGCTCAATGCAGCTGCTAGAAAAAATGCCGCTTCCTACTTTAACGTTGCTTATTTGAAACATTTCTCGAGAGGTCGCTTACGAGTCAGCGAAAACGAAACGTTCCCCCGGGATGTGCTCAGTTGCTGGATGTAATTCGTCGCGTCGCAGTGCGCAGCTATTTAAATTACCGGAAGATCCGGAGGAGAGACTGGAATGGGTCATGTTTATAGCTGAAGTCAACAAGCAGTGCTTTAAGGAGTCGTCGTGGACTGATATCTCTGTTTGTAGCGAACACTTTCCAGACGACTGTCTTGTCACTGTGGATGACAGAGTCCAGCTGAAGCCTAGCGCTGTTCCCTCATTGTGTTTGAATATGGGAGCTGAGGAGAGCTCTGAGTGGGAGGTGAGTGTTTTTCCCCCTCAGCTGAAAATGAGGTGGAAATTACTTGTGATCACTGGACAGATGTAATTGCTTGGTTGTTATTAAAAATTATTCCAAAGGGCCTTCATTCTATCAAAAATAAATTATTTACATTTGAAGTTATTTTCCCTCCTTTTCCTGTTATGCTTAATATATAATAAACCAACTATGCCTCTTGCCACAGGCTCCAACAGAAGATGCAACCTCCAGCATCGTCTCAGAGGTTCCCCAGATTGATGCTGTTCTTGATGAGGAGAGTGACCCTAAAGATGGATCTGTGGAATCGAGTGATTCGGGTGAAATGGATTCGGATGAGGACTGGAAGCCAGCGCGGGGTGTTTTCCCCGTGAAATTATTTCCTGCGAAACAAAGCAACGATTCTGTAGAGCATATTGACTACTGCGACTATCTTTCACTCACCCCCATACACAGCCAACTCTGCACCGACTGTGGAAGGTTCTTTGATAGACGAAAACCTCACACCTGTGAGCACAAAGTCAAGCCTTATTCCTGTTACATTTGTGGGAAAAGATGTGTCAATGAGGTGGCTTTGAATTTTCACAGCAGAATTCATAATGAGGACTATGAGTTTAATTGCAAATTCTGCAATGTTACATTTAAGTTGAAGGCAGACAAATTTGCACATGAGCAGATCCATATAACCCAAGGGAAACCGTACAAATGTCCAGACTGTTTGGAAACTTTTGCCACAAACAAGGAGCGCAGAATCCACCTGGAAAATCACAGAGGGACAATAGAGTTGAAATGTCGCTTCTGTGGGGTTGAGTTCTTCCGCGCTCTTTCCATTCAGAGACATTTATTGATCCATACTGGCGCAAAACCGTACAAGTGTTCAGTTTGCCAGCGTGGCTTCAACCAGTCAAGCCATTTGAAGTCTCACATGCGCCTGCACACTGGGGAGAGGCCTTACAAGTGTCAGCGCTGTGACAAGTGCTTTAATCACAACGTGAGCTTAAAGAACCACATCCAACGTTATCACCCTGTACATTCTGGACCAGAAGCACAGACCGATACAAAAATCAACCAGAAAAGAGACGCTAACAGTTCTAAATCTGACATGTTCAGGAAACGTATAAGCCAGGATCTTGACAGTGATGAAGAGGAACAGGACACAGATTCTGATGCACAGATTACCGATGATGAGACTCGAATGGAAGGGTTTTACAGACCTAAAAGTAGAAGAAGGGGCACAGGTAGACCAATAGGGCGACCTAAAAACTTTGAATCAAATGTTGTAAAAACTGGAAAGCTAAATGGGAAGAGCCAGAAATAAAAATCTATATGAAGAGAACAAGGTGCCTGGCTCCAATCCTTCAAAGCTGAAATATTGACACTGAAAATTTGCAACATGTTCTTAGAACGTTTATTTTTATTTTATATAAATGGACAAAACTGCCCTAGTATTGCCTTTAAATGTAAATAATTTTTTTATTTCAAAGTACTTCTTTATTGACTTATGTAGTGATTTAAATGTTCAAACTGTAAAATACGTAATAAACATTTATGCAAATTGTGGTTGACAGCATATTAATCAAGGTTATTATTAAATTCTTAAGTTTTCAGTAGCAAATTTTAAATACATGACACCTTCATAGTATTCTGTGTTATGATAGTTAAGGGCCATGTAGTCAAATTAAAAAAATAAAAAAGTTGTCTATCTGTAGGTAGCTACCGTGAAGCACATTTAAAATTATTGCAGCAGGGAGGTTTAGAAAAATATTCAATAGTTTCATTCATGAAAAATTCAGGAGAGCAAATATCATTATTGTTTATTTGAATAAAACATACAAATTTTAACTAAGACCAAGTTCTGTCTAAAGCAAGGTAATCCCAGAGCATGATGCTTCCACCACCGTATTTTATTGGATGTGTGATGTTCTTTCAGTGATATTTAGGTTTCTTTTGTGCCAACTATATTGTTTCAAGTTGTGCCCTAAAATTTTGTGTGGTTTGCCATCAAGCCATACCAGATACTCCCAAAAGATGTTGGGAGAGTTTTACCATTTGGATTAAAATCTCTAATCCTTAGTCCAGAAATATGGAATAAATGTAGAGTACTGTCATAAAATATAACACAATCAGTATTCGCTATGAGTTCCAGGTCATTCAGAATTACCTTCGGCTTCTTGACAACCTGCATATTTATTTTTAGTTTTCAGATTATTAAGGAAATATTTATTTTAATTTTTCACATAGGTGTTAGTAAAGATTGTCAACAACAAACTGGTTCAAAGCAGTATTTCTGTAATTCAGTGGATAATTGAAATAGTATCTTAAGAGTTTCTATTTGATTTTAGCATATCTTTTTTTTACTATAAGCCAAAATAACTGAGAAGTTCAAAACATTTATCTTAGAGCACAATAAGAAGCCATTGTGACTTATTAATTTCTGACATGTTACAGGAAGAAAACATTCCTTTCAGTCATATAATTCTGTATATGTCTAGTTTTCCTGGAGGATGTTTTAGTAATAGCCACTATGTAGATTCTTACAGGCAAATAATAATGTAGTGGCGACAGAAAGTTTGTTGATTGCATTTTACTGCACTTTAAAAATAAAATAATATGACTGATAAGCAGTTCAAATGAAAGTGAATCTGCTGTTGATTTACTTCTTCTGACCGGTGCACGCCTGGCCACAAATCATATCGACCCAGCAGTGACACTCCGCCCATTTAGACATGGTTAATCGAAAAAGAAACCCGATGAATTAGCTCATTGTTAATGCAATCTCCGTTCCAATAGTAATTATAAAATAAATTTTAAAAGGGCAAATCTTTAAGCCCACCACATGCTTTGTGTCTTACTGGGAATCACCAAGAGCTACTGGGGAATTTGATATCAAAATGAACAGATTTGTACTGAAAACTTTGCAGATAGCGGGCTTATTTAGGATTTAAAAAAGAGAAAAGACCAAAAAATGTGGAATTTAAGTGATATAAACATTCCTTTTGCAAGTCATCTTTAGTCATAAAACAATTGTGCAAAAGGAGGGTTCCCGTAACAATGAACTTCACATAAAAAGAGGCAATCTAAATCCAAAATTACAATGAACACTAATAATATTTGCAGGAATAAAGAAAGACAATGACATTGAGGATGATAAAAAAAAAAAAAACAATCGACACATCACGGGATGGTAACACATTTTACCACCTCTAGGCTCTATAAACCACCATAGTTCCTCAAAAAGGTTCCAGGAGCACACTGCTAACTGGTTGATGTTAGCTCACAGGCTGTGCTTAACGGTGCTTCTGTTGCATAAAACTTTGTACAGCTGGCCATTTTAACTTCTAACATGGATACTTTTTTTCAGTTTTAAGTTTGTTATTCTACGTCTTTTACGTAAAACTTCTTACTGCCGCTAGCGTTTACTTGCTAACAAGTGTTTGCGAAACGACTCAGCAGAAAGGGCAAACAAACCTAAAAACAGTGGACCACCACAATAGTGTTGGCCCAGCTGCTCCCTTTAGACCTCAGACAAAACATACACTGCTTTTTTATTAAACAGAAAATATACCGTCATCCTCTAAGCTAAAATTTCTGACTTTGTTTATAATGTTGCGCATTTTGACCAGTACAGATTGGCAATGGAGAACCATTCTTTTTCGATTGTTGATGCGAAAACTTTCTTCCGGTCTGCTAGTCCACAGTGTCGTCTGGCGCTACGTTAGCGTGGGTTTACTAATGCACGTACATTAGCTTGTGTTTGTGAGACGGCCACGCACGTGGTAGCCACGCTACTACGTAGAATGGGCATCAGCCAATGAAACGCGGCCCCTGTGGTAAGACATGAACAAGGGCTTGGGAGTCGAATGAACGTCTTTTCGGTGAGCGGAGCCAAATGATTTGGATCTTGAAATATCGCCTGAATTCCCATCAGTCAAGTGCCACGAAACCCCGCCCCTTCACCCTCCACCGCTGCTGAAGCATCACTAGTTAGCGTTTAGCAATTTTATACGGTTGGCGATTGCTGGGTAACTAACTTCTCACTTAAATGAACAGTTCCAGACTTCATACACACTCTGGTAACGAAAGTAAAACCCAGAATGTGCTCCGTCGTTGGGTGTGAGTCATGGCGTCGCAGAGCTCAACATTTCATTCTTCCAGCAGACCCAGAGAGGAGACTGGAGTGGGTCCAGTTTCTCTTCGAAGTCAATGGTCAGAGACTTAAAGAAACCTCGTGGACTGACATCCGTGTGTGCAGTGAACACTTCACACGTAACTGTTTCCTGACAGTGACGCGAGCTGCTGGTTCGACCCAGCTAAAATCTGATGCTGTACCATCAGTGTGTTCGCCTGACGAACCGGAGTCCAGACAGGTGAGATTCCATGAAGTGAAACAGCTGAGGAAGTTTGTTCTTTATGCTGTTTTTTTTTTTAGCGTAATTGTTTACATGATGTTACTGCTCGTGAGGGGGATGCACAGTGAGTGTATTTACATTGTTTTCTTACGTAATACAAGCCCCGAAAATATGGTAAACATACGAACAATCCCTGATCGACACAAGTCAGCAAAGGTCAACACTGTTTACTGCTGCTGGAAGTTTGGTATCCCACCGTGTGGCTCATTGGTCGTATGTTTAGGGTTCGTGTCCATTCAGAAGATCTTCTTTTTTTAGGTAACTGTATTCACCCTGCATGTTACAGCATTCATGGCCTCACAAGTACTGTCCCTCAAAAACGTTCCCATTTGAAATGGTCTTCTTCAGAGCCATTTCAATCTTTGAAGCCCCTGCAAACTGTTGTGGGCCACTGTACATTTAGCAGTCAAGGTCTGCAAGAACGTGTCTGCCTCAAGGCAATGTAAAAAAGGTGTGTTTTTTGTTTTTTTCCCCCTAACACACATTTGTTGAACACTTTCTTTACCTCCAAGGTTGTTGCAGAATTTGCAGACTTGTGTTGCTTTAAGCAAGTTTTCACGATTCCATGTTCTTTTGTTGTTACTATCTTCATTATTTTTACTTGTTTTAGGATATTATTCAGCCCAAATATTCTGACCAACTTGAATATGACCAACTTAACAAATGCCATTATCCAACTCCAGGATCAACATTAAACAAAGAGGAGAACTGCTATTTAACGAGTGAGTTGCCTTAAACGTTTAGGCAATCAATATAAAAATCCCTTGCTTTTTCATTGAATGTTTTATTTTTTTGCAGGCGTCCCTGCAAGCCCAGCATCAAGCGAGGCCTCTGAATCTTCATCATCAGATTATTGTAAGATGCTGGAAAAGATAGAAAACCTTGACATTATCAAGGAAAAGTGAGTTTTACCCTAACGTTTGTTTATTTTTATTATTATTATTGTTTTTTAATCATTTTCTATTAAGATGGAAAATCTGATGTATACTTCTTTCCCAGAGTTAGCATGCTTCGGATGAGTAAGAGGTACATTGTAAATGAAAAGCAGCTTCTCCAGCTGTTCAGTGCCACTTGCCCCGTGTGTCACTCTGAAGTAAAAACCGAGAAAGTGGTCTGTGGAGTCCTCTTAGTCCTGAACCAGCAGTGCCGGCAGTGTGGCTACAAGAACCAATGGAAGAATCTGACCCAGAACAGCATTACTGCAGTGTCAGAGGATCATCAGACCAAATGCATGGAAATATTTTTAGAGGTAGGGACCTAATGACCATATGGGTTTTCTTCTTTTAAAAAAGGTGTCATATTAACTTTCTTAAGAATATGTTGCAATTTAAAAAGTATCTGTGTTTGAAACAATGAGTGCAATTTTGATTCTAGGTCAAAAATAAATTCTAATTGTCAATTGTCGGTGACTTGGGCATGACTTTTTGGCATGTGGTGGGAAAATCTAGGTTTTGTCCGGCAATACAAATATCATTTGCCTGTATCATGAACAATGATATGGGCGAAACAATTGTAGTAAAACCACCACATTTATCTGTTTACATGTTTCACTCTCATAGCCACTAATCACAGCGGATACAAATAACAAATGTTTCTTTTTGTTGTTGTTTTCATTTTGTTTTGATAAGTGTAAACAGACTTCTTATCTTTGAGTGTTTGAGAAACAATATGTAATCTTAAATTTTGTTTGTACAGAATTTATTGTTTTTTAAGTCTCTCGCTTGTTCTGTTGTGTGGTTGACAGGCAACATCTACAAAGACAGTAGAGATCACTGAGAATGTCGAAGTTGTTGACCAGGAGAGCGATCACACCACAGAGTCGGAGGAATCCAGCGATCCGGGTGAGGTCAAGGACTCAGAGGACAGCTGGGACCCGGACTCAGAGGACAGCTGGGACCCAGACGATGAGCTTTCAGTTTTGGAATCTGAGAACGAGAGCTCTGACGAAGACCACATGCATGGTAGTCTGAAAAACAGGGAACTCTGCGCAGATTGTGGGATGTTTTTTGTAAAGCGAAAGTCTCACACCTGTGAGTATAAAATTAAGCCCTTTTCTTGTAACACCTGCGGGAAGAGGTATGCCACTGACCACGCCTTAACTCTTCACAACAGGGTGCACAGTGCAAACTATGAGCATCCTTGCAAATATTGCCATGTTGGGTTTAAGACAAAAGTAGCCAAAAAGGCCCACGAGCAGACTCACTTAAATGAAAGAAATCCTTTTAAATGTCCAGAATGTCCGGAAACATTTGCCACGTACATGAAGCGCAAAAACCACATGAGGACACACGTGAAGCCAGGGCCGCTGAAATGTCCCGTTTGTGGGATTGAATTCTTTTGGGCTGTGGCTCTCCAGAGACACTCGATGGTGCATACAGGGGAAAAACCGTTCGAGTGCTCGGTGTGCCAGCGTGCCTTCAAACAGCCCAGCCATCTGAAGTCCCACATGCGCCTGCACACCGGGGAGAGGCCTTACAAGTGTAAACAATGCGATAAATGCTTCAATCACAACGTGAGCTTGAAGTGTCATGTCCAGCGTTGCCACCAACAGAAAACGACAAACCCCAAGGGATGCGCTGGTGGTGACCCCGAAGTAGAAGAAGCACAGCTTGCAGAAAAAGAGGTCAAAACTCAGAGAAGGATGAGGAGAACCCTCACAGGTAGACCAGTTGGGCGACCGAAGAAGAACCCCAGAGAAACAATGTCAGAAGAAAAAAAAACGTCTGGTCTTGCTGCAAAACCCAAGACAGCCAAAGTAAGAAAGCGAAAACCAAAGAAAAAGCCGTTTAGCTGTGAAAAAAAGGAGGAGGAACTGAGCGAGAGTGAGGAATCCTTGGACTTAATGGAAGAAGAGGAGCAGTAGCAGCATCAAAATACGAGGTCAGACTCGTAAGACGAAAACTCAAAGAGTTTGATTTGACAGAAATGGCATCTGTACGAGTTCAAGAAACCCCAGAAAAAAATGTTGAGGAAGCTCAAATTATGACTCAGTTTGGGCCAAATTCTCATTTTGTCGATGTGAAGTTGGTAATCTTTGGTAACAAAAGGTAATTCTCAGGTCATTTAACATGGTCTGCGACAGACTGGTTACCTGTCCAGGGTGTACCCTGCCTTTCGCCCGGAACGTTAGCTGGAGATTGGTACCAGTACCTCCTGACCTCACTAGGGACAAGGGTGTAAGGAAATGGATGGATGGATTTTGCATGGTATAAATCATTTTTTAGAGTTTTTTTTAAAGCAGAATAAAAAGAGTGTTGTTTTTCCTTTAAAAAAACAAATCCCACATACAGTAGTTAAATCTTTTGAGATGTGTCTGCTTGTTTTAATTGAAAGCGAGAGAGATCATGTTCTCGGCTGACCTTGAATTGTGTCTTTCTGGTTATTTAACTCTTGTACAAATGTTTATTTGGAAGAAACAAAACATTTAGTACAATTAAAGTCAATGCACTGTTTCAGCTGGTTGGTGGTTCTCTGTATCAGCTTTGACTAAATTGAATTAAAGTTTACATTTCTCTCATATTTTAGCTTGATGTAAACATGGTTGATGACTTTGAAACAAGAACAGTTTTCAGCATAAAGTTGCTCAGTCCAGCAGTCATTTCAGTGGCAGAAGTGGTTCATTTACAGACATGAAACTGAAGCAGGAAGAGATGAAAAGGCAACATGTTGACAAATTATTTTAAGTTTGTTTCTTGTCTATTTAGGTAAAATTCTGAGACATCTACTATGCATTGGACTGTAAAAATTGCACAATTTTTTTTACAGTACACAAAAATCAAGTGATGCTTATATATTTTTAAAATAGTTTATGTAGTGTAGTTCCTGTTATACTGTTATAAGACATTTATGCTAATTCTTGGTCTGAGCATGAAAATATATAAAACTAATCTGTTTTTATCACCTAAGCGGATTAAATATGATACAGAGTAGTCTATTGTGTCTGATTTGATGGTTTTTTCCATTTTTTTAAAAATTCTTCTTTGACTACCAAAGTAGCCTTATAAGTTCAGCAGTTTTTCCCGCAAGTGTTACAGGCCATTTACCAAGTTTTCCAGTCATCTGACACATTTTATAATAAAAATTAAACAGAATTTGTCAAGCTAGTTTGTAATGATATTCAGTGTGTGTGCATTTGATACATTGCATCAATTGGATCAGATTCCAGAGTCCTAACATTGCGTTGGAACAAAATTTGTGTTCTTCTAAAAATTTGACCTATGAGGTTTATTTAGTAGAAGTATGTTGAAATTTTCTGGTCAACATTCAAGCTTTACTTACTTTGCAAGAAAATGGAAATTTGTCATTTTATTTTTATTCCATCTGGCCAAGACTTTCCATACTTCACAAGAACTGTGTCAGCTCTTAGGAAGTCCTCATATTACCCTTGCTCTGCCCCATTATAGCTTCTGGACACCACACAACAAAAACTTTCTGCCCAGAAGCTGTGTTAACAACAAGCTCCAAAAACAGACTGATGCTATTTTGTTCTTGCAGCTCTTGGAGAGACAAATGATTTCTCTGTTGTGGAGGACCTTAAAAATGTGTCTGAATTCCTATGGGCTACACATAAAGCTGTTCAATCACTTTTTTTAAAATCGATAACACTGCAGCTACCTCCCTAGATAGATGTTTTGTGGGATAAAATGCAGAAAATCTCTGTTGCTGTTCTTGCTACAGAGGGAGCTGAAATTTCAACATAAATATGACAAGTGGAGCAAATAATCCCACATGCATCTGCACAGAGGGAAGAGGCCAGACATATCTATGACAAATGAAAGCTCTAATTAGAAAATTTGAGGATGACTGGCAAGGTAATGGCTTGTTTTTTGAGTAGAGACACTACAGAAGAGACAAATTTAGATTTTAAGTCCTATAACACAGAGTTCATTTATTTAAAAAGGGCTATAAAAACCAAAGGCAACCAAAGAGCTGTACAGGTCAATTAGAAAGTAATGCAGTCAAACTATAAAAGCATCAATAAAAGAAAAAAAACAAAAACAGATGCATATTAGTTATGCTCTGAGGAATTAAAAGCCAATATGCAAAGGTGAATCTTTAACAAAGATTTGAATTCATTTAAAGCTCCCCAAAGATTATATATAAAACAAGTAGTCTTTCATTGTTTAATGACTAAAAAAATTCACCTTAACCTCAGAAATGTGCCATATTTATTCCTCTTACTTTTCTAATATGTCTGCTTTTTTATTCTTTTAACTGCTGAACAGACAAAAGACTGCAAACTCAAAAGGATAGTAGGAACTTGTAAAATTACTTGTAACTTAAATCTTTATTACATCTCCGAGGCAGTCTAGAGGTATGGAAAGGGAAAGTAACAAATGACCAGGAAATGAAGAGGAAAAAACAGGAGGCTATAAGTAATGTTTTATTTGAAAATAAGCCAGGAAGAATCTTGAATGTGAGGGGGGAAAACGTGAGGAAAAAATGAGTGTAAATAACAAAATACATGGTTTCTAATAAGAGACAATCCTCAAGCAAGCTAACCTGGAAGAGACCATGAACTTGGCATCTTCATAAACAAGGCCCCACTCAACTACAAACCTGGGAAATAAAAGAATGTGTGCACACACTGCTGTCAAACCACCACAAAGCTGCAGCTCACATGCTGCCCACTTGGCCCTGAGATCAGTTCCCCAACGCTTGAGTGAATGAGTGAAATCCTCACCAGCAGTAAATGTGAAGGAAAGTCCATTTGTTTTCTACAGGGTGTCCAAGTGGGTAGAAAAGTTTAAGATAATGAGGAATCACAACAATATAATGCAAGAACAATTAATTACACAACTTGAGTGGAAATATTTGCTCTAACATGGATTATGACCATAAACAGCAAAGGTAGGACTCAATTTATGTGTTTTGGCTGTTGGTTTTTTTGCATGTGGCATTGGTGATTCTGGTTGTTGGAAACAGCCAAGGTTGTGTTTTAGCCTCATAGGTAGTTTGTGTGGGTAGACCATGTTGTGCTGTTTTTGGTAAGTGTTTTAGTGGATATGTGCCTTGAGCATCTTATTTTATTTTGTTTTTTAAAGTTGCTTACTGTTGAAGTTGTTGTTGAGGTAGAAATTATGGTTATATTGTTATACTGCTACATGAGCGTTTACCTGTTACGTGGATGTGCAATATGTATACCTTTTGAAATGTTTACAATGTCAACTTACCAGCTATTTCAATTTCATCTTTGGGTTTACTGTAAAAGTTTACAAGTTATTGCAAATTCCCCTGCTTACATGCATCCTCTGGTTCTCTGTGCTGTGCCGCAGCTTCAGCTCGCTTTAAGGCCCATCAACGTTTTTCCTGAGTGCTGAAGAAATTTATCCTGGCTTTTCAATCAGGCCAAGTAAGCTTGTTGCTTATTTGACTTCAGGACTCCTTCACAGAGGATTAAATTTGATGATGGCTATCGGATCTAAGTCTGGTTTGTGTTTGGAGGAGTAAGTAAACAAAATGCTTGTTTAGTGAGCAACAAAGCAGCACTGTTCAATGGCATTTTGATGGAGCAGAAACGTTTTATTCAGTTTTAGCTTTACAAAGGATTAGACTGGTCCTAATTTATCGCTAGCAGGAACCTATAATCTGATTAAAAAGGTGTTCTTTGAAAGGTCAGGGAACTCGAACTGCAGATGAACCAGTACATCTTGATAGCAGTCATTACCCTCAGTGACTAATGTGGCGGAAACTTGTAGTCCTTTGATTCCCAATGATGTAGGACACTGCTATCCTAAGAATAACCACTAGGTGTCAGACGCGTGCCACAAATACTGACTCAGAGCAACGCTGCTTTCTGTTCAATTACTATGGTAACTGCTACTTATTGTGCAAGACCTGAGGTGGCCTGCTCAGTAAAATCTGACTGTGATATCCCTGTCCTTCTCCTCTTTTCTTTTTTCATCTGGAACAAATTTAAATCAGGGAGAACATTTGACTCTTCATACTCTGTTGTTAGCCACTTAGTTTTATGGAAATCTAAAGTGACAAAGACCACAGAACCACATAACCTGTAAACATGAATTCCTCGAGCTGGCATACAGTGACTCTAGAAAGTACATACACTTATTTATGGTGTCAGATTTTGATGTCATAAAGCACAGAGCGCTGTAAATCCTTTTGAAACATCTTCCACCTTTGTTGAGCTCTTGTACAATTCAGCTAAAAATAAACTAATATGTTGGGAGAGAGGGGTGTGAAGATTTGTAAAGATTGAACAATGAGCCGGTGCAGGTGTGTACACCCTTAGTTTACAATTTGACAGCCAGTCTTTTATGAAAGGACTCTAAGTCCCACAGATCTTGACTTGTCCCACCCTTAGACTGTGAGGACATCTCTTGTCCACAGGTCTCTGCTGATTTTCTGTCAAATTTAGGAATGACTTCTGAATAGACCTTACCAAAAAGTAATGTTCTTCTGGTGAAAGCGTTCTTTAAGTCATTTAAATTGCATGATGAAAAAGGAAATCCTTTTTAATCTTCACCTTTTGAGGAAATATCTGAAAGTCTCACCTCAAGAAAAGTAACCTTGAATCACAATGCTAAAACCAAATTTTATTTTTGTGCCTCTTACGGTTTTGTCCTCAAAAATCAAGTTTGGTTTCTACAGACAGCAAGGAAATCTATCACACGCTTTTTAGAGATTTTGTCAAAGCCTGGATGTTTTCTTTGGAAGAAAAGTATTTGGTCTTATGTACCTATGTCTTAGTCCAGGCATATGGAGAATACAGGAGATCAATGTTGCTTGTAAAACACAACTAGCACTTTTTGGAAATACCTGCAACGTCTTTGGTCTTAGCACTATGACCTCTCAAAAAAACATGGCTTTTTGTAAGTGATTCAAATGTGGAAATCCCAGTAAAAATCTACTAGGTGAGTTGAAAACCTAACTGTTGCAGATTCAGTACAATTGATGGCAGGTGTGAACTAAATAAGATCAATTACTAAAACTGTAATTGAACTGAAACTGTAATTCTGTAATTCAATTGAAAACAAATTGAAATCAGTAAGATTTCAATTTGTAGATGTACCCATGTATGCAACCTGGTCACATTTCTAACATTCTTCCCCCAACAAATGTATTTATAATTATTCATTCATTTTTCTTTTGCCATTTTATTTCTTTTTACTTCTCAAAAACACAGCTTTTCAAAAAGGGTGTGTAGACTTTTGCAATTCATTGTATGTCTCCTTGACAAGTCATTTCTCTCTCTTCCTCTGCATGACTGTTGCCTCTTGTTTTTTGTTTTTTTAATGACCATCTTTTCTCTGTTGCCAGAGGACTGATGCTTTGAGGATGACTTCAAATAAGGGCTGTTTTATGGAGAAAATTGCTGTTTCACTGTTAAGGCACCATCTGTGTGTAGATAAAATTTATTCATCACAAAAGTCTTTTTTTTTAAATATACACAGTATATTCTTGAAACATGGGGGCACATATGTGAAATATGAGCTTATATCTAAAGTATCAACTCATCTCACTTTGCAGGTAAAAAGCTCACCAAAAGCCTTTAAGTAGAAAGATATGCACACATCTGAGCTTGCTGATATTTTCTCACTCACCATCTTTCAGACAGCTTGGCTGTTAAAATGCATTTGGCCTTTTGGCTGTATTTTCTTAACAGAAATATTCATTTTCCAGTCTCCTTGTTTACGCCTTTAATTGTTTTTGTAAAATCAAATGATACTCTTTGAAAGCAGATGGCAAGATGATTCAGATTCAAAACAAGCTTCTGTGTGGGTGTTTTCACATGTGCATTTCATGCATTTGATTAT